TGAATATATTTTAACACTGAAACAGTAAGAACAAACATACAACATTTAAATTTCAGTGCCTCATCCAATGAGGCGTCTTCATATATATTGTCTATGGGTGGGACTGCATGAATATTTAAGCCACATCTGGTGGGCAGGTGGTTCTGTTTCACTCTACGGCGTCCCTCAGGGATCAATCCTCGCACCTGGACTCTTTGAACTCTATGTCTTCCAGTAGCATGGCGTCTCCCATCAATTAAATGTTTATGTCAGTAGGGGAAGCTGGTAGCTCCTCTCTGACAGACGTACTCTAACCTCTCATTGACTTTACGGCTTGTTTGGCTTAAAAAATGGGCATTCTGTTGTTTAAAGCTGCTGAATAATCCAGCCGCCAACTCATGGAAAGCTTTTATCTGTTAAAAAGTTTGGTTCATGCATGTGTTTATTTCCACTGCTGTCCTGCAATGCTTGGCAGAAATCACAAAGTCCTCCATGGTCTTAAGTCGAGAGGAGCCAGTGGAGGTGGCTCAGGGATCTGGTTAGGATGCCTCCTGGACGCCTCCCTGGTGAGGTGTTCTGGGTACGTCCCCCCGGGAGGAGGCCAGAGCATGTGAACGGAGCGGAGTGCCGCGCAATTCCTGCTCCCTGCTCAGGAGGATGTTCGCTCATTCGCTACGCCGCTCAAAGTTCTGACAGGACACTTCGCTAAAAATCCACTCTGCGCTCACTTTAATTTTCCTGCAGCTCCGGAGAAATCGCTCCACGCTCGCTCAAATTTTCAGCAGACAGCGTTTTCTGACATTGTTCCTTCCTCTAATGATGCCAGTGCCTTGGGACGCACGGCGTTTGATCTAATGATGTGACCGATACATGTGGATTGTCTTATTTAGCCGGCTGTTAGATTATCGCACTGTTTCCCAGCTGTCAATGAACACCTCGCTCCATTCATGTTGCCTCGCGTTTCCTATTTAATTATTTATTTATTTGCGAATGAAATAATTGCGTATAATGTGCCGGGGTCAGTGGCTGGTGCAGTACTTATTTTTTTAAGGATTAAAAACTGTTGGCCTGCAGCTGTTTTTCAATTCAAAAACAAATAAAAAAATCCCACTTATGTCAAATAAATGTTATTTTACACATTTTATAATCCAACATTTTTAATAGACTTTGTGAGCGCATCGGAGCAAATTCCTTGCTCCGGCCTTTGAATTGAAAACCGCTCCGCGCTCCACAATATTTCTCCCACTCCACGCTGCGCTCCGCTCACACGCTCTGGAGGAGAACCAGGGAGAGGCCCAGGGGGAGACCCAGGAGGAGACCCAGGGGGAGACCCAGGAGGAGACCCAGGGAGAGGCCCAGGAGGAGACCCAGGGAGAGGCCCAGGAGGAGACCCAGGGAGAGGCCCAGGAGGAGACACAGGGGGAGACCCAGGAGGAGACACAGGGGGAGACCCAGGGAGAGGCCCAGGAGGAGACACAGGGGGAGACCCAGGAGGAGACATAGGGGGAGACCCAGGAGGAGACACTGGGGGAGACTCAGGGGGAGACCCAGGAGGAGACCCAGGGGGAGAACCAGGAGGAGACACAGGGGGAGACCCAGGGGGAGACCCAGGAGGAGACCCAGGAGGAGACCCAGGGGGAGACCCAGGAGGAGACCCAGGGGGAGACCCAGGAGGAGACACAGGGGGAGAACCAGGGGGAGACCCAGGAGGAGACACAAGGGGAGAACCAGGGGGAGACACAGGGGGAGACCCAGGAGGAGAACCAGGAGGAGACCCAGGGGGAGACACAGGGGGAGAACCAGGGGGAGAACCAGGGGGAGACACAAGGGGAGAACCAGGGGGAGACTCAGGGGGAGACCCAGGGGGAGACCCAGGAGGAGAACCAGGAGGAGAACCAGGAGGAGACCCAGGGGGAGACCCANCCAGGAGGAGAACCAGGAGGAGACCCAGGGGGAGACCCAGGGGGAGAACCAGGGGGAGACACAGGGGGAGACACAAGGGGAGAACCAGGGCGAGACACAGGGGGAGACACAGGGGGAGACCCAGGAGGAGAACCAGGAGGAGACACAGGGGGAGAACCAGGAGGAGACCCAGGAGGAGACACAAGGGGAGAACCAGGGGGAGAACCAGGGGGAGAACCAGGAGGAGACCCAGGAGGAGACACCAGGGGGAGAACCAGGGGGAGACTCAGGGGGAGACCCAGGAGGAGAACCAGGGGGAGACTCAGGGGGAGACCCAGGAGGAGAACCAGGGGGAGAACCAGGAGGAGAACCAGGGGGAGAACCAGGAGGAGACACAGGACTATGTTTCTCTGCTGGCCTGGGAGCGCCTTGGGATTCCCCCAAAGGAGCTGGCCCAAGTGGCTGGGGAGAGGGACGTTTGGGCCTCCCTACTGAAGCTGCTACCCCCGCGACCCGACCCTGAGCAGAAGAAGATGGATGGATGATGGATGGATGGATGGATGGATGGATGGATGGATGGTCGGTCGGTCTTCCTCTGTCTTTATCATGCAGAAACAGAACGGCTGCTTTGACACTTAGATTCCGTTACTGAACTCACAGGCCAGATAAAAATCAGCTGCACTGGCGTCTGAATAACGACGGCAGCCATATTAGTTTTATATTTCTAGGGATTTCTTCTAAATATCAACCATAAATGTTTCCTTTTACTTAACCATCCAGCTTTACTCCTTAGTTTTCACACAAAGATCCTAATAAAGACAGTTTGAAGAAGCTTTAGGGGTTTAAATACTTTATATGGCCGTGCTTTCCTCTCAGGTAGCTACTACCAAAGCATCCAGAAAGCAGTTTTTAGGTAAAATACATCCGAACTTTTAAAGAAGATTTGATGAAATCTTTCCTCCTGGGTTTGATCGCATCTTTGCAGGATGGAGGAAACAAAAGCTGCAAACATGGCCGTCCAACCTGGAACACGCCAACGTGTTGGTAATGAAAAGCAGGTTAGAGGACTTTAGCCGCTGTAACACAGATTACAACAAAATTACTGAATCCGTTGAGGCGCTAATAGCCTACAGGCGTGACCTCTTTGCTCGTTCCCATGGTAACCTCTTGGACTCTGCTGTGAGACGCTTGGTAACGGTGAAGTTTCCTCAGAAACTTCCTGCTCTCCTCCATCCATGTTTTTTTTTCTCATGATGACATCATAGGCTTGTTGTTTAACTGATCACTGACCTGCTCCATGCGACCCGCTCACTTCCTGACAGACTCTGATTGGCTGTTCCAGGTACTTCGCCAACGAGCCGTTTGCAGACCTGCATCGGGTGGAGGGGCTCCGAGGAATCTTCATCGCCACGCTCATCAACGGGTCGGTCAGCGAGGACAACATGCGCTCCGTCATCACTTTTGACAAGGGGGGGACATGGGAGCTGCTGCAGGCGCCGGCCGCTGACAGCCTGGGAGGGACCGTGGACTGCCAGGTAGGAACCGACGCCGACGGCTGATCCTCGCCAAGGTTTTAAAAGGGAAGTTTTTGATCCCCGGAATAAGAAAAAGATGATCTCTAAGTCATAGCAATAACAAGGCTGCAAAGGAAGTAGTGCATCCTGGGAGTTCTAATAGCCTTTCACACATTGGTTGGTGTTTTTATGAT